AACTCAGATAAACCATATATTGTCGTAGTCTTGTGTTTATTAGTCACGTTGAATCAATGAAAGCAGTTAAATCTTCTGTTTATTCAGCAACCGCTATAGGGATTTCCTGGATTTCTTCTGCGGGCGTATTTGGAGTTTCAGCGCGAGAGCGCCCTCTGGCCTTCGGATAGAGATTTACTACTGATCACAGAACCGTGGTTCAGTGAAAGATACGCATGACAATTGCAGCTTCTGCTTAATCGCGATTTATCACCTTTGCGATTTAATTTCGATTAATCATGCAGCCCTACTCACTCTTGAGCTTGTAAAACTGACAAGCTACGTAAAATCATGTTCATAATTGCAGACAATATAATCACGCGATTATGAAATAGAAGAAATCGTTCTGCGATTATGAAAGATGTTTGCGTAGCTTCTCCGTGAACTACGGCTCTGTGTAGTAAATGCTGTTCCATCTGAAAGCACATGAAAATACCACATTTAATAAAATGTTTTTCCTACATCATCACTTCATAACAGTAGTCGAGAATGAAAGCAGTTAAATCTTCTGTTTATTCAGCAACCGCTATAGGGATTTCCTGGATTTCTTCTGCGGGCGTATTTGGAGTTTCAGCGCGAGAGCGCCCTCTGGCCTTCGGATAGAGATTTACTACTGATCACAGAACCGTGGTTCAGTGAAAGATACGCATGACAATTGCAGCTTCTGCTTAATCGCGATTTATCACCTTTGCGATTTAATTTCGATTAATCATGCAGCCCTACTCACTCTTGAGCTTGTAATTCAACTGTAGAGTTGATTCCTAAATCTATAACACTCACTTAATCGGTTCCAAAACATAGTGAGCTATGGATGCACAGTGTTTCCCACAGACTTACACTTTATGTGTGGCGGCACTTCCACCGGGGGAAGCAGGCTATATAAAACAGCAGACGGGATTATTGAAAATGCACATTCATTCTCTGCCAGCAGGAGGCGCTTTTGGAGCGGCAGAAATAGCGGTTCCCCCAGTAACGGCTGTAATCAAAGCAGCGCTCCGCTCATAAACGCTCCTTCATCAGGCATATTAGGAAAGATTAAATGAAAATGACATTGAAACTTTTCTAAAGACAGTCAGTTCCCTTCAAAGATACATTCATATAAAAACACCCGCGCCGCGTTTTGACTTTGAAATGTACAGAGCTCATGTTTATTCAACGAAGTCAAAGCATTTTAGAAAAACTATTTGTGGCGGTCATTGTTGATATTGTGGCGGGCCGCCACAAATAAATCAATGTATGGGAAACACTGATGCAGCATTTTACAGTAGTAAAACTGTAGGTATTATAAAATAGCTACTATGTTTAGTAGTGCTTGTGGGACTGTGATCACATTCTCTGCTCTGTATGAGTGTAGCGACTCGTTAACTCCAGTGAATATTCCCTGTCTCCCTTATGAATCAGTTGTGCTTTTTTTATTGACTGCTGTGTGTCATCATTATGCTACAGACTAGCTGCTCTCATGCCTTCATTCACTTGAGCTTTATGTGCATGTCTGTGCAGTTTAATCGCATTTAAATTGGTATGTGGGAGATGGTATTGCAACTAAGCCACTTAAAATGTCTGAATTTCAGTGTTTGCAGTTTGCACCCTTTTCATGCTGCAGGAGGTGTGTGTGTGTGTGCCTCCATCTGTGCATGCATTTCTCAGCATTCCCATCCTGTTTGTCCTCTGCTGTCACAGCTGGAATGTCTGCCTCGTGACTGTTTGCATTACGTAAAGATTAAATGCACACGTATGTAAAAAATAAGGCTTGTGCTTATGCTCACATACTGACTGTTAACTATACACTTTAGATCGTAATCCATAATTCCAGTTTTTAGATTAATCCGGTTTGAGATTATTTATGTAAAATCCTCACGTGAAGGTCACGTTATTTCATTCAGATGGCCAAATTAAGCCATGCACCAAAATACAGCATTGTACTCGCACAGGATTGGCAGATATTTAGACCGTGATCTGATTGGGTGTCAGTCAAATGTGGAAGAACGCTGATTGGTTGTTGCTTTGAAGAGGTGGGAGGAAGCAGGTGTTTATAAGCATCTCATCAGGAAACATTGAGACCTTAAAATTTACCCTTGTTATGTGCGTGCAAGAATTATGTAACCTAGATTAAAGCAAAGGGGAAAAAAAACTCCCTACATTAAATCCTACATTGGATATTTTCATTTGAATAATTTTTTTTCCAAGTGTGTTTCAGCATTTGCCCTAATAAAATAAACCTGGTAGCTAATACAGGACGTGTAATTTGATGAGCATAACGTACTTTTGCCACATCACACCATTTAGCTTTGTTTTTTTTGGTTTTGTTTTTTGTTAGAAACTGTAATAAGTGGGATAATGTACAATCAGCCCTAACCCTTCCCAAAATATTCATGTAAATAACATAACCATAGGAATGTTTTTTTGTTTGTTTTTTGGGGGGTTGGTTTGAAACATTGTAGCAAGGGAAATAATGTATGGTATTAATGTAAATAACCATAGAAATATATATATATATATATATATATA